AGCTGTCGGATAATGAGGGGTTCACCGTTGGGGGGAGGGGCATGGGCTCAGGGACTTTCAGGCAGGTGGGGACACCATGTGCATCAGCAGGGAGGTGTGAGGGTCTGTGTTGAGCTCAGGAACGTTGTGTGGAGTCTGGGGCTTGGGTAGGGCCCAGGATAAAGTTCAGCTAAAGGATAGACCAGAGGCAAGTGTCTAGGGAGTCAGCAAAGTCTTCCCGGGGCTGCCCTGGCCGGTTTGGTTCAGCGGTTAGGGCGTCGGCCTGTGGTCCAGAGAGACCCGGGTTCGGTTCCCGCTAAGGGCACATATCTCGGTTGCAGTTTGTCCCCGGCCCTGGTTGGTTGTGCGGGTGGCAGCCACTCGATGTGTCCTTTCACGTCAATGTTTCTCTCTCTCTTTCTCTGTTTCTCTCTCTCCCTTCCATTCTACCTGAATAAAAAAATGGAAAAATGTCCTCAAGTGAGGATAAAAAAAAAGTCTTCCCGGGGCTGATAAACCTGACTCTGATAAGATGCCACTTTGATTTATTCCCCAAGGTGCCCAGTGAAGTCACCAGGAGCATGACGTCTCCTCTAACCTCTGCGCTAAGCCAAACAGGGTCGTCACTTCAAGAATTATCTGGGGCTTCTTTAAAAATTCCAAAAATAGGGTGAAATAGCATTTCTGTTAGGTTTAGTGAAAAGTAAAGCCTCAATTAACTGGATCCGTCAGATGACTCGAGTTTTACATGCACGTGACTTTCAGGTGAAACAGGCAAGTCACAGGGAGCTCCGGCAGCGGGGCCGGTGTCTGCAGAACCTCCGCCCAGACTCCTGTTCACTCAAGTTTCAGAGCCGTGTGTCACCCATCCCTAAGTCGGACGTCCTGCCTAGCATTTGTGGTCTGCTCCCTTCTTCCGGTTGGACTGTAAATTCTTTGCGGGCAAGGAACTGTATTTTATACCACATTTAATTCCACACGGTAGCTAACACAGATCCTTGCATATTTCAGGGCATTAGCTGTCTGGCAACGGATTAGAAAACGCTGTACACCCTCATCTGTCAGTAGCGCGGTTAGACCAGTTTAAGTCGCTCTCCTCGGTTTCTTGTTCCGTGCCTTGGCGTCTCCGGGGCGCGGGTTTGCACTTCTGTGCCACCAGTGACTGGCAGCGTGAGCCTGGGCAAGTACCTCGCTCTCAGCCCCACCTGCGGGGTTGTTGTCAGATCTGGAATTAAGTATGTGAAGGGTCCGACAGCGGCTGCTGCTGCTGCTGCTATGTCACTTGTCTTGAAAGCAGACGTTTCCTGGCTTGTAGCTTTGATAGATTCCACAACTGAGAGCTCGTATCGTTTCTGGAATTGCATTTCCATTTGGAAGTAGATGGCTCCTGTTACTTGAGGCTGGCTTCGGTGGAGGGGTGCTATTGGACCCGAATCTTGAAAGATGAGTAGGTGCTTAAAAAGCAGAAAGGGGTGGAAAAAGCATCCTAGGCCGAAGGAACAGCATGAGCAAAGGCCCCGGGGCATGAAGGAGGGTTTGACACACGGAAGAAGTTGACCTTGGCTAGAGTGAGGATGCGCACCATGGGCAGAGGTCAGACCGAGGACAAGCGTGGAGCAGGAGCCAGATCACGGGAGGCGCCTCTCTCCTGCTCCTCCTTCATTTCCTCTACGTTTTCAACGAGTCACTGAACAAAAAACGTTTAAATTGGGTTAGTGAACTCTGAGCCAGGGATGGGGGATAGGAGTAGACCATTTTCCCAGCAGGTGACTCTCAGCTGTACTTAGAGAAACATCTCAGTGATGCATGGTCGGCCTTGGGTGAGGGGCCAGCGACCGGCCTCGGGCCCACGCCCCGCCGCCCTCTCTGCGGGTGGACAGTTCCACGACTGACACGCCGCCCGTGCTGATCGGTCCCGTGTGTCTTGCCTCCTGCGTGGTTTCCCCGCAGGTTGAGTCTATACTGTCTCTGGATTCACCTGCACAAAGTAACGCTAACCGCCGTCTGCCTGCCCTTCCTTCCTGTGCCCAGGACTCGCCAGCCAGAGGTCCCGACAGGCCTGCAGTGTGTGAGCGGCTTCGGCGACGGTGGTGATGGGGTCTCTTGTCCTGTTGTGGGTGTTGTCTCCCCATAATCGAGCTCAGGGTTGGGAAAGTGGTGACAAGGGCAGTCTGTCTGAGGCAGCGCCCGCGCCTCCTGCCCCGCCTGTCGGTCAAGGGGCGTCGGCGGGGCTGTCGGGGCCGCGGGCTCTCGCTCCTCCGCCTGTGCTTCTCCGCTCCTCTCTGCCGCTCTGTTCCTGCTCCTCGGCCCCACGCTCCACCACCAGTACTCAGCGGCTCCACTTGTTCTTCCCGGCTCCCTCAGATCCAGCCCACACCTCTTCAACTCCAGAGCCTCAGTCAGGTGTTTGAAAGCTGTTATTTCATGTTAATTAGAAGTTCTTTTTCCAGCCAAGAAGCCTTGCACAGAACGGTTGAGGCTTAGCGACGGGCTCTGGCATTTGGGCACAGTTCAAGGACACGTCGAGCCCAGTGCTGCCTGTGCAGAGACTTGTCAAGAAACTGTGCAGGGTGACCATCCTGGCCAGCTCTAGGCCCCCCAGGGGGACCCCCCCCCCGAGTTTGGCCAGCCTCCCAAAGAACATCACCATGGCCCTAGGCGGGTTTCCCCGGGCCAATCAGCTCGCATCCAAGAGAGTCTCTAGCCTTGGGCAGGTCTCCACCAAAAGCTGACAGGTGACCTTTTGGCAGCTTCTCCCTCCGTGGTAACACATCTCCCAGTTGACCCCAGTTTGGTGGGAGATTCCACTGGAAAAGTTCTACCACCTTCTGGGCTCATGAAGACATCAGCAGCTGTCAGCTCTGGCTTCCTAAACCCCCTCCCGACACCCTGAGTTGCTGCCATTCCTTGCAGATGGTCCTGGAAAGACCTCGGGGAATACTCACCTCCCGAGAACTTTTAGAGCAGAAGCTGAGTCCTGGGCTCATGTCCAGGCTCACTCTTTATGCCCACCTGCTTGTAGATTGCAGACGCCGTCCCTCTCACAGCCTGGGTCGTCACCCCATCATCGGGCTTCTGCAAACCCAGGCTTGAGCAAACTGGCCCCTGACCCCCTGGGAGCCCACAGCGTCCCCTTGGGCATCCTGCGTTCCATTCAGATGGAGTGGTTGGTGCTGACTCGTCCCTGAGCTTGGGCAGTGACTGGTTAGAACCACCCTTATTCCATCTCAGGACCACAGAGGAAAGAGAGACTTTCCTGCTCCCAAGTGCCTTCAAGGGAGGCCGTCGTATTATGCGTGGTGGAGGAATTCTCCTTTATGCCTAACTGAAATCACAAAAACACATTTCTTTATCTCCTGTGATTTATAGAGAACGTAGATGGCGGTGTTGATTAAAGGCCCGTTGAGCTCTGAGCACAGGTCTAGGCACAGTGGCAGAGCGGCCGGAGAGAGAGGGGTTGGGGTTCTCGTACTGAGGGAGAAAAACAGCCGCTGAGAAGGGGTGTTCCGAGGATGGCGTTGATGTTTGCGGAGAGCCAAACGCAGGGCCAGGCACCCCGGTGGCCCCTCACAGGCAGGGGCTCCTCCCACGTTTTCTTCCAAGTAACAGCCAGCACCAGCTAACCTGGTGCACACTGAGTGGAGACTGAGGGTGAACGTGGTTCCGTGGGAGACTTGTTTTGTGAGGTGGGGTTTCAGGTGGCTTCAGGAAGAACATGGAGGTCGAGGATCAGTAGAGATGAAGATTGAGGACATGGCATCGTGTTCATAGAGTTATCACAGAGCCATAGCCTTTGGTCCGAGAATTCCTTTGGCAGGAGTGAGGGCCCTCCGGAGGGATGCTCACACCGGCGGTGACAGAGGAGTGGCCAGTGGGCAGAGTGCCTTAAAGGACTCGGGGGGGGGGGGGATTCTGACTTATTATTACAGACAGGAAGGAATCACTAGTTTCTTGAGCTGAGAATGAAAGCGACTTCTGGAGATCTTTGTAATACCGTTTCTTGAGCTGGGCAAGTCAGGGACTAGGAAGAGGGTCAGGAAGGAATCCGGGCTCATGCTGGGGCTTTCACAGGGTGGCAGTGATGAGCCGGGGACCAGGAGGGCTGATGTCGCGAGAGACCGAGGAGAATTCCTGGATGGGCTAATCTGAGGGACTGAGAAAGCGAGAGAGGTCCAAGCTTAGCGCTCAGAAGGTCTGGGTGGGGGTTGGGGGTGGGGTGAAGCCATTGGTGGTAACAAAAATAGGGAAGAGCCCGGCAGGGGTGGCTCAGTGATTGAGCATTGACCCATGCACCAAGAGGTCACCAGTTAGATTCCTGGCCAGAACACATGCCCAGGTTGTGGGCCTGATCCCCAGTGGGGGGCATGCAGGAGGCCGTCAGTCGATGTTCTCTCTCATTGTGTTTCTGTGTTTCTCTCCCTTTTCCTTCCTCTCTCTCTCAAAATCAATAAAGGAAAAAATAATTTTTTTTGAAATAGGGAAGAGATAGTGGTTAGGAGGAAGTTGGTGAAGTCCTCGCCCCTGAATAGCAGGGCTGGGGAAGAGCAGAGGGGGAGGGAGTAGGCCAGATGCCCCTCCGCATGTCCCTCCGACTCAGGCTTTCGGAAGCTCGTGAGACCTGCTCACCTTCACAAGGTGAGGATCATTGTGGAAGACTATTTGTAGATATTCACATCAACGGGGTCACTTCTGCTGTGTAACTTTGTAGATAAGTCAAGATTAGCTTTTAATGAATTTTCGAAGTTCTGTAGACGAATTGGTTTTGTTCTTAAAAGGCATGTTTGTGATGAAGCCCTGTGTCCTGAGTAAGAGGAGCCACTCTGATGCCTGTCGCCTGACCACGAAGGGTCATGTGCCTGCACGCGCCTCAGCGTGACACCAGGCAAAGCCCCCTTTGAACTGAGAGCTGCCGGGCTGCCCTTGGTGGGTGAAGCCCTCGGGCACCCATTCCAGAGTGAGTCCCCGCCAGGCCACTCCCTTGGTGTCAGCTTTGTTGTTTTCTCCCCTTGTCTCCCCACCAGACTGCTGTTTTCCAAAGTGAAGTTGGAGTCGCTGTGCCGCGGCCCGGATGAGGCGCTTCTCACGTGCAAGCACATGTTACAAATATGGAAATCCTGCTACAACCTAACCAATCCCAGGTGAGAGCCCGCAGTGCCTGTTCCGTGTGGTCTTTGCATGGGTCCTTACTGTCAGTGCCCTCTGATTGGCACTTAGCAGGCATCACCTGTCACCCTGTGCCCTTCTAGGACCCCAGACACAGCAGACAATAGTGGGGGGAGCCTCCCCTCACTATGTTCCATCTTCAAGGGGATTTTCTCCCAATGGCTGGTGAAGTCACCAAATCATGGGGTTTTTTGCATTTGCTGCCACAGTGACCCAGTAGGCTCAGTTCATGAATGAAGACTCTCTGATGGTTTATGGGTAGGCTGGTCAATAATATATTCCATATTGGATTCTTCCAGTAATGTTTAAAAGACCTACATAGCCCGGCTGGTGTGGCTCAGTGGTTGAGCGTCAATCCATCCACCAAGAGGTCACCAGTTCGAGTTCCAGTCAGGGCACGTGCCCAGGTTGTGGGCCCGATCCCCAGTGGGGGGCATGCAGGAGGCGGCCAGTCGATGTTCTCGCTCATATATGTTTCTCTCTCTCCCTTTCTCTTCTGTTCTCTCTAAAAATTAATAAAGAAAAAATTATTTAAAAATAAATAAATAAAAGACCTGCATAGCCCAGCCGATGTGGCTCAGGGCATTGAATATCATCCCATGGACTGAGAAGTCCCGGTCTGATCCCTGGTCAGGGCACATGCCCAGGTTTCAGGCTCGATCCCCAGAGGGGGACGTGCAGGAGGCAGCTGATCAATGTTTCTCTCTCACATTAATCTTTCTCTCTCTCTCTCCCTTCCTTTCTCTCTAAAAAATCAATAAAAATGTATTTTAAAAAACAAATAAGTAATGACCTGCATAGACAACAGGTCACACCCTACCAAGGAGAGTAGAATTTGCTATTGGCATGATAGTGTTCTTTTCACAAAGTTAAAATCATGACTCAAACAGAAATTAAGCATCAAAGGATTGATTTACCTCATTAGCTAAAGAGGGAACCAGTAAAATTATTAAGGCCCATTCAAAGAAGAATTTGAAAAATAGAGATGCTGAAATGAATTTGCAAATACATGCAAAAACAATAGGAAACAAAATACATTGTTTGGGGTTATCTTTTCTACAAGGTGGAAATCGATCGGATCTCGGCCAGATGAAATTCTGTGCCTTACTGTCGGCTTGCTTCAGGCTAACTGCCCTGCAGAGCTGTGCAGAGGCCTGGTCGGTCCGGTCAGTGCCAGGGCCCACCCCACAGAGGGGGATAATCTGGGGACCTGCATGCCGCTGAGAGACACCTGATGACCTGCTGCAGCCGTGTTCAAGCCTGGGCAGTTTTCCCGCTGTGTGTTCAGGTTACCGCGTGTGCCCTGGCCCATCCAGGAAGTAATGTAATAAACGGGTGCAATGACTCCAGTGAATTCAGACAACTGCCCACGCATTCAGAACATTTTTCGAGCTCATGGCAAGGTGTATGGGCAGCCCACATTATGCTCTTAAAAGTCAGGGGCCTAAAAATAGATAAAACTCAAATGGTGAATGCGTCCTAAGGGTGTGGCTTGCCCAGCCTGGCCCACGGGGCCGGCAGGCGGGCTGTGGCGGGGGAGAGGAAAGGCAGGATGGGCAGTAGGGAGCAGCAGCGTCCAGAGGAGGTTCCATGGGGCTATTTTGTTTGACAGAAGTTTCTGTGGGTTAAAAAAAGGTCAAGGTCAGGGCCCTGATAAGGGGCTGAGTCCTTTGGAACTGAAATTAACAGACGTGACCAGGCCCCAAGGCAGTGCAGCTAGGAGGGAGGGGGCTCATTCTGGAAAGCCACGCGACCCCCTGCAGAGCCGGGGTGCAGGACTCTCCCTGCGTAACCGTAGCCTGCGTGCATCCCTGTCATCCTCTTGATGAGAAGAGTATCTTCCCTTTTGTGGGTATGTTCTGAAAATAAAGATCATTTCAATTTCAGAAATATTCTCCTTTTCTAAGTCTAAGCAGAAGTAGAAAATGCTTATGTATATGTCCCTGATGCCCCTCACTCCTGGCCTCGGAGAAGCAGCAGGTTCGGGGGACTCCGCCACGAGCCAGCGGACGGAGCCACTGCCCGGGCTGGCTGCTTCCTTCCCGCTGCAGCACGTCCCTCTGCCTGTGCCCCCTTTAGAACTGAGAAAATAGACCCATCAGCGTTCACGCTGCCAGTTTCCCTCAGTTCTCCACACCTCTCCCACCTCCCCACATTTCCTCCCACTTAGCAACCAAGAATACTGAATGCGAGGAGAAAAAATAGCAGAATTGGAAAGCTTTCTAAAGATACTTAACCAAATGCTGGGCTGTGTCCCTACTTCCTGTTTCCTGAAGGATCTCTCAGGGCTGCAGCAGGAGCACCCTGGCTCCAGGCACAGCCTGGATGGGGATGGGGCGGGTGGAGGGTCCCAGCCCAGAGCTGCTCCCTCCAGCTGCTCCTGCCTCCAGCTGCTCCAGAAGCCTGGGGCGGGGGTGGGGGGTGGGGGTAATCGAGCCCCTTATGAAGCAGCTTCCTCTTTTTTGTTTTTAACTTTATTTTCTCTGGGATATAAATAAATGTTTCTCCTGTAGCGCTTACCATTGTGCAAATTTAGACATCCTCCCAGAAGGGCCAGGGAAGACCTGCCCCGCACGAGAAGAGCACCAGGAGGGGAGGGCTGTGCCTGGACGAGGGACAGCTCGCTCTGCAGTTCTCCAGATAAGGGCAGCTCGGGCCCAGCAGCCTGCCCTCGGGTCACACGGCCTTTTAGAAAAGGGTGGAATCACATGAACAAGCGTGTGAGGAGTGTCCCTGCTTAAAAATCAAACTTAGCAGTGAGCGTCTGGGCCGGAGGCGGTTGGTTTCTACCTGGAGAAGGTCCACGCGGACTTCCTGGCTCAGGGCGCCCTTGTTTGGGAGCCTGAGCAGTGGCAGGGGTGGGGGTGCTGCCCGGCCTGCCAGGACGTCTCATGGCTCCCAGCTCACCCTGAGGTGGCACAGGCCTCCAGAGCACAGAGGAGGACATGGGCAGGAGCAGGGCCAGGCTTCGTGTTCTCTGCAGCTCGGTCCCCCACTTTCCTTCTGCTTGAGGAAGAGCTCTGTGAGCTGGTCCCCGAGCCGCCCCTTCGACAGCGTGCAGAGCACCTTCCACCTGCAGACTGAGTGTGTCTCTTGCTGTGAGCAAAGGGTGGGTGGCGTGCTCTCGCGTACATTTGACAAGGTGTCTGTCACTTCAGAAGCCTGGATGTATTCCCCTAGGTCTGCAGTTTCGCTTACAATTCGGGATAGAAATCAGTCTCGCGTTGTGTCTTCTCTCTCTTAGTCTCTAAGGGCGCCTCCACTTGTGCATTTTCACTCGGCCACTCCAGGCAGTGCGACCTCTGACCAGGGCCTCCCCGAGCGAGCCTCACACGCTTCAGCCGGGGGTGGCGGCTCCCTCCCCTGCCAGCGCTGTGCTAGGTTGTTCACACGGGATCTTCAGCCCCTGTGTCCTCAGCCCTGCAGGGTAACTGCTGTCCTTCCCATTTCCTAGAAGATAAAATGGAAGCTAACCGAGGCTAAATAACTTGCCCAAGTTCTGCCAGTGAAGTAAGTGGCAGAGCTACGAGATGAACCCAGGCCTGTCGAGCAAAGCTCCCTCCACCGGGCATTCTGCCTCTCTGAGTTGCAACCAATTTCTTTTTAAAAAAAAAATGTTTTGCCCTGGCTGGTTTGGCTCAGCAGTTAGAGTGTCAGCCTGCGGTCCAGAGAGACCCGGGTTCGGTTCCTGCTAAGGGCTTGTACCTCAGTTGCAGTTTGTCCCCAGCCCTGGTTGGGTCGTGGGGGTGGCAGCCACTCAATGTGTCCCTTTCACATCGATGTTTCTCTCTCTCTTTCTCTCTCTCTCTCCCACTCTATCTGAACAAAAAATGGAAAAATGTCCTTGGGTAAGGATAAAAAAAATAAAATGTTGAAAAATTAAAAAAAATATATATATATATATGTTTTGCCCTGGCCAGTTCGGCTCAGCAGTTGGAGCATTGGCCTGTGAACCAGAGAGTCCGGGTTCAGTTCCTACTAGGGGCACGTACCAAGAAAATAAAAATTAAAATTAAAAAATATGTTTTTATTGATTTTTTTAGAAAGAGAGGAAGGGAGAGGGAGAGAAACATCAACGTGAGAGAGACATCGATTGGTTGCCTCCTGTACGTACCTCGGGGACAGAACCCGCCACCTGGGCATGTGCCCTGAGCGGGAATCGAGTGGCGACCTCTGGTGCAGGGACGAAGGGGCGGGGGCACCCAGCAGGCCAGGCTCTGACTCCTGGTCCGCCGCCAGCTCACCCCTTGTTTCGCCCTGTGTGGCCATGAAAGCTGGAGCATTTCCAGGAGAACCTTCCCGTTTCCACCGAACTGTAACCATCACCGCACCTCACTCTACATGTTCAGTCCTAGCGGGGAACAGAAATTAGCTGGGGGTGCAAATGACCTCTCTGGATGTCTTCAGCTCTGTACCATGGATTTGGGGTTCCTTCCCGTTTTCTCTCCCGAGCCCTCTTTGGGCACCACCGACCGGGAGAGGTTCCTTCCCTTCCTGCCGTCTTCCCTGGGGGAGCTGCTGGCAGCCGAGGGCAGGCCGAGAGGATGCGCGGCAACTGGCTGTGAGGGGTCTGGGAGGTCCCGGGAGGTGTCCCAGCAGAAGTGCCCCCGAAAGAGAGGAAGGCAGCGTTCAGGCTTTCGTGAGAGATCCTGGCCAGAGTAAGGGAGTATGGCGGGGCCCTTGCCCCTTCTTCCACTTGCTGTGGGTCACAGGAAAGGCAAATCTTGATGGGTTAAACCTCTGCAGCCTATAAGTGAACGAAAAATTGCTTAATGCATCCAGCAAAATTCTCAATCACAACATTCGGAATAAAAACCAAAGCATGTCCATTTTGAATAGTTAGCTATGTGTATATGCTAAAAGGAACCAGGGAATGTAGCCGAACATAGTTTCTCAGCTGGTGGAGGGGAAACAGACTGTCATTGGCAGTGGGTGGAGTTCACAAGTGAAGATTTTGTTCAGTCGGGGCTTCTAACACTGGAAGGTGGAGGAGGAGGTCCTTGATCAGCTTCCCCAGCCCTGCCGTTGCCCCAGAAGGCTGGTGTTCTTCAGAAATCGGCCAGCCACATGAGCCTCACATGCCTGCTTGTAGGTATGTGTGTTTATAATGACACCTGGCACGTGCCTAGAAGTTATAACTCTTTTGACTCCTCCGCCTGGACAACCTCGGTTCAGCCTTACACAGTTCTGTGTCGGAGGACACTCCTTACCTTCTCCTGGGAGGAAAGGCACTGAGGCACAGGGAACAGGGCCTTGCCCAAAGTGACCTCCTTGTTGGGGACAGATGTAGGGACAGACCCCCGGGCGAGTCCCAGGACCCAGCACCCCTCGTGACAGCCAACCCCGTCCTCCGAAACTCAGTGAGGTAGAAAGCCAGCAGGGTTGTGGCTGAAACAAACATTTCTGAGCCACCTCCTGAGATGTGGTCCACTGAGAACCCAGGCCCCTCCTCTGCAATGCCAGCACCTCCTGGCGTGCCCTGGAATCCCCGAGGGGATGGAAATACACTCTATTTGAGATGACATCTTCTGATAAACTCCCTAAGTGGGGAGCCACTGCAATATTCAGATTTGGGGTAACATTTTTGTAATGTTGACATTAAAACCACATACATGAATAGACCAGTGCTAGAAATATTTCGTCAGTGATGTGTTTAATGAAACTGTGTGTATTTTGATGTTATCTTCTGCTCAGAGACATGTATTGTTTCTTAGTGGTGGAAATAACTAATAGAACAGTTTCCGAAAAACATGTACCCAGTGGTGTAAGTATAGGCTGCGGAATCCTCTGTACTGAGGCAAGTTTCCTTCTGTTTCCTGTGGATTTCTCTAACTCCATCACTTCATTTGGAAATTACAGCCTGCAAACTATATTAAGTTTCATACCAAATCTTGTTTGTACCACTTTTAGCAACAGCTGCAATGAGGAAGAAAATTGTGTTCCTTTATTGTAGAATTTGAACTTCTGAACAAAACAATATCACCTTAGAGCCCCAGATTGATTTACAAAAAAAAAAAAAAAAAAATGGATTCAAAGAATAACATTAAAGACTCAAAATTCAAGAGACAGATAAGTTTCTTTTTGGAGATTTTTTGATAGAATGTCGTGATAGCAGAAAAGAGAAGAATACAATTGTTTTTGCTTATAAGTTGCTTAGAATTAAAGAATCAAAAACAAGAGTCTGCATGAGCTCAGGTCCCTCAGCTGTGTGTCGTTCCGGTTACACCTGATAGAGTCTCCCCTGTAGGAGCAAGCTGGAGAGGGGATCCAGCACAGGAAGCAAACCCCTGAACCCCGCTGTGTCCCCTCCAGGCCCCCTCCCAGCTCAAGAACACTGGGGGAGGGGGGCTGTAGCTCCACCTGTGCCGCTACCAGCTCTGTGCGACCTCACACGTCCTTTCCCTCACCTGCTAACCGGGGATATCTGCACACACAATTCACCTTGCTCTGGGACACACACGAGGCCATGGTTGCCATGGTCCTTTGAAGAGCAGGGGCCAGGGGTTCTCGAATCCGGCTGTACATTAGAACCCTCTGCGGAGCTTTGAAAACTGTTGACTGCCCCGGAAATTCTGATGCCTCTGTTCTGGGGTGGGCCCTGGGCATCGGTGGTTTTTAGAAGTGCCCCCCGCGGCTTCCCGGGGCAGCACGGGCTCCGAAGCACTGGTGTGAGCACCCCAGTTCTCAGACAGTCCAGGAGAGCATGCATGGGCTTGAGTGCCAAGACTCAGCGTGCCAGTCAGATCCCCCTGTAAGGTGGATGACGAATGGGGCTGTTAGTTCTCATTTTTACATTTTATACTGACAAAGAAAGAGGCTAAAATTAGCCAGGATCTGTGGGTGTGGTTTAAGCTGTGTTTGTGACATTGACTGCTGAAAGCACTCCCAGTCGAGCTACAAGCAGGACGCTTTGCAACAGAGGAAAAGGTGCCCAAGAACATCAGAAACGCACCCAACATCGAAAACTGCCTTTTGGGAGTCGGTATTGGTTGATTCTGTTTCCTCCCACCCACCCTTCGAATGACTGACATTTCTAGCTGTTGTTTTGCAGTGATTCTGGACGAGGGAGCAGCCTCTTAGACAGAACCATTGCGGACAGACGACAGCTTAATACAATTACTTTGCCAGACTTCAGCGACCCGGAGACAGGTGAGAAGAAAGAGCCAGAGGGGACGGAATAGTGTCAACTCCAAGTGTGACGGGGTACCAAGATGACCAGATACTGGGGCTGGGGAAATAACTCATGCAAATTGGTTAAACTCTCAACCGAGGTGCATTTTCTGAAGTGTGTTCGCGGTGGGGGAAGTACTGTTACATGCCCAAAACAGCTCTGAAATCTCCCTATTTCCCCCCCCTTGCTCCTAGAGCCTAAAACCTGAAACTAAAAATAGATGGTTCCCCTCTCCATCAGGCTTCCTCTCTGCTTTTCTGTCTCTCCCTCTCATGTTCGACTTCAGACCTTGTGAAATCCAGGATCTGATTTCTGGGCAGTTGCACATACGAACACACACACATCCAGCACCAGACCCCGCAGGGAGGCTGGTGGTTCCGAGCTTCTGACTCCACTGTCCCCACGTGGAGGCCTGTGGCATTTAGCACCTCTGAGCACCTCTCTGCCACTGGCCTTGCCACGTTCGCCTAAGCACGGAGGAGGAACTATACCTCTGTAGTTTCCAGTACTCCAAACAAGCAGTTCTACCAGTAACACCGACTATACAGCAGCAATTTGGAGGACTCAACAGACCCACGAGAGATACAGAAATTCACTCCCCTTTGAGCCTCCAAGTCCGTTCCAGTGCATCAGTTGGAACCTGGTTCTGCTGCTCTTCCTGCTACCTGTGGGGGTCTGTGTGAAGGTTAGTCCCGATCTGGGTGTGCCTGGTCCCAACTCCTGACCCAGCCCAGAAAGCTAGGGAGCAGCCCCAAGGCGTGCACAGCCATCTCCGGGCGGGGAAAGGGCCCCAGGGAGGCAGCCATGGGCCTCCCAAGCCCACTGTCACAGCTGCCTGCAGACTGCGTCCCTGCACTAGGCTCCCTTTCACCAAATTTAAGACCCGCTTGAGAAGTCTGCCCCAGGGCCCTAGGTCAAAGGACACTGGGCCTTGGAAGCAGCTGAATTGCACACTGGTGTGCTTTAGTGCACCAGCAGGCGCAGACTGCCGAAGCCACTACCCAACCCCGGCGATGGCCCGACCCTGGATTGGCCAGCAGGCCGGGGTGGGTCCAGCCCTGCTGGAGGGACTCTGACCCTCCTCATTCTGGAATAGGAAGGTCGGGCTGTCATGACAAGTCACTGCGAGGTGAGGCTCGGGCGGGGAGAAGAGACGGAGGTGAAGTGTATCATGGCACCGGGCAGTTCCAGCTCATTCCGCTGCCCTGGCTGCCCAGGCTGCCGTCCTCCTTTCCCCTTCCCCAGGACCCTGGGAGACCCCTTACCTCCCCGGCTTGGACCTTCAGCTCCTCCAGCCTTTCCTCGTTCCTCAGCCAAATGCCACGTCACGTGGGACCCAGGGAGTGGCAGAAAATGAGTGAGGCCCTATTATCCGTTCTCTCACCCCTTGGCACCTTTCCCCTCAGGAGTCTCCGTCTTCAGGTGAAGGCCCAGGTGCCCCAGTGTCCAGGGAGGTGTGTCTGTGTGGCCCGGTGGGGGTCACTGCCCGCCTGGTCCTTAGTGGTGTTTATGCCCTGCTCTGTCACCCGCTCTGGGAGCCCAGGGGTCTGGGTGGCTGGTGCAGGTGCCCTTGAACACAGGAGAAAACCGCAGCTTCCCGGCCACTGGCCAGTGCCCGCTGCACTGTCGTCGTGCTGGCCACAGGAATCCCTCCAGGGCCCCTTCCCCGGCCGCCCCGCGCCCCACGTGGTAGGCCTGCACGCCACCAGTTAGTACCCGGAGGCCAGCGAGTCCGGGAATGGAGGCCGCGTGACGCCTCGTCCGTTGTGGTCATAGTGAGGGAAACGTTCTGAAATGATCACTGCAACCAGAGACTTAAACATCTTCACCCAGAGACGGGAAAGCTGCCTCCGTCTCCATGACAAAGCCCGCTGTTTGGAGGTCAGCGCGGCAGGGCCCGCGCTCTTCGGCGTGTGGGTGGCCTGTCTTGTGAGCCCACGGGTTTGAACCAGTCCGGGAGGCTCGCAGGGGAGGCTGCCCCCACCCGGCCTCCACCGGCCCTCCACCGGCCCCCTCCCGCCCTCCACGGGCCCCCACCCGCCTCCACCTGCACCCAACAGTGACCGTTTTCATTAGCTTCTCGTCCACTGCCCAGTGTTCCTCCCACGAATGAGCAGGGTCAGGTTCCCAGGTGCCCGCCATGCAGCTAGCACGCCCTGGGGAGCCGTCTCCATCCGCGGAGGGTCCTCCGCCCCCGCACAGGCGCGCCCCCGGCGCCCAGGCTGCCCGGTCCAGACTCGGCCGAGCTCGCCGTCCGGGCCACGCGCCTGTCCGGCTGTCAGCGCGAGGCGCTGGAGGAGCTGGTGATTCCGAGCACCCGCCGCAGCACTGCCCACGTAGGGAAGCCATCGGGCCACAGAGAAAAGGAGCTTGTCCGAGGGGAAAGGGTCCCGGACTGAGAAGTGACCCTGCGGTCAGCTCTGGTCTGAGGGAACCAGCCTGTCGGGCGACAGCACGCCCGCAGCGTTGGTCCAGGCCACAGCGGGGCTTCGCTGTTTTCCTAAAGCCCCCAACCGGGAGGGCACAGGCCTGCACCACAAGCACAGCTGGGCAGGGTCCGCATCGGCGAGGACACGGGGCCAAAGCCACGTGCCTTCCCGTCGTCATCCTGCCGCCCCTGCGCACGTCAACCCCTCTGTGAACCCACAGGCCCTCTTGAATCCCTCCTTCTTCTGTTCCAGAACTAAAATTCATTTCCTATTCATTTTTTATTTTCTCTTGGGGTAAATACTCAAATACACCAAACTACAGATACAATATGATGAATCCCCATGTCCCTACTGCCAGCCTTCAGCAGTTAGGGTTCCTTTCCCGCCCATCTCTCCTGTCCCACACTTCGTTTTTGTAGAGTTTCAAAGCAAATTCCAAACATGATGTTTCACCTGTTAAAATTTTAGTACATATGTCAGATAAGAACCTTTAAAAAAAAATGTTACCACAGTACCATTATTATACACCTGGGTCTTTATCCAGGACGGGCTCGGTGTCCTTGACTTTGGAAGTGGTGACTCAGTCGGAACAGGGCTCCACCTCTGAAACTGTCCGTTTGCAGGTCGGTGGTCACACAGGGTGAGCCCATGTCTCGGCGCTTTGACTGGCCGAGTCCACTGTGGTGACCGAGTGGATGCTGGTTTTATTAAATGGATGTGGCAAACTGAAAAGGCCCCCCTTAAAGTACGTGATTTCCCTTCTAATGTCACCTCTCTCTCCTCCCCCCACCTCTGTCACTGAAAAAGAGGAATCAGTGGGGTGGCCGTCAGAACTTTGAAGCTGTGACTCTTTTTTTCTTTGGAACACATTGGTGGTTCCTTAAATAGGGGATGAAAAACAGTTTCTTTGTCCCTTTGGCCTCCAAACAGGATGCAGAGTAAGGGGATTTGTCTTTACTGTAACCAGACACCGGTCCAAAGCAAAATAATTCTTTTAATTTGAAAATCTGATTCATTTTGTGAACTGTCACTGTGGTGGTCTCCCCAGGGCTGTGTCCCCCCGCTGTGAGGCATGAAGGTGGCAGTCCCAGCTTCCTTTCAAGAACCAGCACAGCCACCCACGGGCCAGCGTAGAAAGCTTAGCACTCCGCTGCCATGATGCTGGGACCCTGACATGTCATTGCACCTCAGTATCGGCACCTAGGAAAACACAGACACACTCCGTTTGCCTTTCATCAAAAAACCGGATCTAGGAAGAGCCCAGTTCTAACCCTTTTCAATCGAAAGGCAAAGACATTCCTCTAGGACCTCTGGGTGTTGCAGGTTAAAGATGTGTTGTTTTCAGTGGATCATATTGCTGAATCGGTGCCCAGGTAAACCCGAGTTATTTTTATTCCACGCTGTTATTGCCGAACATGTAAATAACCAATGGGAAACAACACATTGTTTCCTTCGAAAAGCACTTGTGTTCTATTGTCGGGTAGAGGAATGACTATGTATCACATGACCTCATTTTCTTTGCAGCTTATGTGAGTATATGAAAATTCAGTTTATTTTTCCTTTCTGTTTCTAAAGTGTTTTTGCTTTGATCCTTTTGTTTTTGTTTTGTTTTTTTTTGTCTTTCACTTTTTTAGTGTCAGATTCCTCCTCCTCCTCCTCTTCTCTTTCAAGAACCGAATCTCCTCTCCACCTGTTTGTGTCTTCTCATCTCCATTGTCATCCCAAACCCGATACCTTTGTGTGGCCCCCAGCAGCTCATTCGTTCAGTGGCCCAGGTCCCCGCCAGGAACACTCTCGGTGTAAACACGGTTTATGGCTTTTCCTTTCTTGTTAGATCTGCTTCATTTGCCTGGTATTTCATTTTCTGATAATCTTCCTAACTGATAAGCTGGATTGGAAACTTCATCAAATTTATCTGAGAGAAAAATCTCGCTAATTGGAAAATCCAAAAGCCATTTGGGGCAGAAGGAGATGCTGGTGCCCAAGTCCCAGCCTTCTCTTTGAAAAATAAAGGAAACCCATTCTGAGCAGGATAAACAGCTTTCCGAGAATGTTATTTGTAGCTCTCAGGTTCTTCTGTGCTTCCTTGGAGTAGGTATAAATGCATTCAAGTTCTCGTTTTTTTAAAAAGCAATTAGAACAATCGGCAAATAATTTATTCTGTATCTTTCTGGTTTTCAGTTTAGAAATTAATTCAACCAGTATGTAATAATCAAGCTAGTTCTCTAAAGATATTGGTCATGCCCTTTACTGTGCGTGAAGATCACACGCAGAGCGCTGAAAACTGTCGATTAGACTTCCTGGGCCCGACCCCAGGGTTTATAATCCAGTACGCCTGAGGCTGGGCCCGGGAATCTGCATTTTTTAAATACTCCCTTATGATTCCAGGGCCAGTGGGTTACGCACTGCATTTTGAAAAACAATGCTATACATTATTTTTGATTTTCAAGGAAGAAAAATGTAGGGTTTATGTCATGAAACTATGCAGAAAAATTGAGCAGATTTTTAATCTAATCTTGCTTTTAAATAATATGGAAATTTGCCCTGGC